AAAATCTGAAAAAATCGATGACGTAATTTATGGACGGCCCCACAGCAGAAAAATTAAGCTTGCTTCTATCTAACAAATCACCCTGTAATACAAGTAGAAGGATGGTTCTGATGTTAATTAATTAATATTCCCTGATAGCGTATTAATATTGAATTGTATTTCAGTACCAAGACGTGATGCGTAAGAAGAAGATCGTGGAAGCGGACCGCGCGAAGCTCGTGCAAGTGATGGCAGAACTAGATGAGAAGAAGAAGAAAACGCTGGTCACGGCGTGCGAGCAGGTCAACAAGGACTTCGGCTCCATCTTTAGTACATTGCTGCCCGGCGCGCAGGCAAGACTCAAGCCGCCTGATGGGCTTACGGTGCTGGACGGGCTGGAGGTAATCTAAATGTGATTGTTTCCACTGCACGCATGCTAACGTTGTTATTGACGATACGAAGAAGACGCTGGTGACGGCGTGCGAGCAGGTCAACAAGGACTTCGGCTCCATCTTCAGCACATTGCTGCCTGGTGCACAAGCAAGACTCAAGCCGCCTGATGGGCTTACGGTGCTGGACGGGCTGGAGGTAATCTAAATGTGGTTGTTTTTCCTTTGCTCGCATGCTAACGTTGTTATTGACGAAAGATGCTGGTGACGGCGTGCGAGCAGGTCAACAAGGACTTCGGCTCCATCTTCAGCACATTGCGTGCGAGCAGGTCAACAAGGACTTCGGCTCCATCTTCAGCACATTACTGCCCGGCGCACAGGCGAGACTCAAGCCGCCTGATGGGCTTACTGTGTTGGACGGGCTGGAGGTAATCTAAATGTGATTGTTTCCATTGCTCGCATGCTAACGTTGTTATTGACGGGAAGAAGACACTGGTCAACGCGTGCGAGCAGGTCAACAAGGACTTCGGCTCCATCTTCAGCACATTACTGCCCGGCGCACAGGCGAGACTCAAGCCGCCTGATGGGCTTACTGTGTTGGACGGGCTGGAGGTAATCTAAATGTGATTGTTTCCACTGCACGCATGCTAACGTTGTTATTGACGAAAGACGCTGGTCACGGCATGCGAGCAGGTCAACAAGGACTTCGGCTCCATCTTCAGCACATTGCTGCCTGGTGCACAAGCAAGACTCAAGCCGCCTGATGGGCTTACTGTGCTAGACGGGTTGGAGGTAAGTTGAGCACAGAAGCTAATTTACTGTCAGTGACCAACGGTGTCAGTGTCGGACTGGCCGAATCGGCATTCGAGAAAGAAAGTATTGTGGTGAACTTACTCGTAACACAAGCGTAATATTTTACTTCCTACGAGGAGTTCAAGGGACTATTAGTAACAGCTATATCGGGAGACAGCGTAGGGCAGGAAACCGCGCGCAATGCAAAAAGGTTGTTTTTCTACTTCATGCATGCTAATGTTCTTATCTATGCCGTGTAATTGGAAATACTTACTGGCTCATATACTTCCAGCAATCTAACTCGTACTGGTAAATCTCAAAATATGGAAGCATGTAACCATGACCGATCACTTGGCACAGTTGATAAACAGTATCTACTATCCAAAGCGCCCGAACCTGGGTGATTAAAGTCTTAAAACAACAAGCTCGGGGTGGGGTTCTAATAAATTAGATAGTGGAAGAAATTTGACCTTTTAACCGTGTCGTGCAGGTGAAGGTGGGCTTCAACAACACGTGGAAGGAGTCGCTGGGCGAGCTCAGTGGCGGCCAGCGCTCGCTGGTGGCGCTGTCGCTGGTGCTGGCCATGCTGCTGTTCAAGCCTGCTCCTCTGTATATCCTGGACGAGGTGGACGCGGCCTTAGACCTGTCGCACACGCAGAACATCGGCCATATGTTGAAGCAGCACTTCACGCACTCACAGGTGTGTACTTACTGTCTACTATAAAGCATGCTGTATATTTGCTGTCTTCCTAGTTCTCGCCACGCTACTGTTGATATTCGCGCTGCTGTATATTCTTGATGAAGTAGTCGCGGCGCCAGACCTGTCAGATCACGCAGAACATTGGCCATCTGTTGAAGCAGCACTTTACGCACTCACAGGTATACGTCAACCGTGCTATAGACTAGTTATCTCTAGTGTCGGTATTGGCCAGGCTGCTGTTCAAGCCGGCTCCTCTGTACATCCTGGATGAGGTGGATGCTGCGTTAGACCTGTCGCACACGCAGAATATCGGCCATATGCTGAAGCAGCACTTCACGCATTCACAGGTATACGTCAACCGTGCTATAGACTAGTTATCTCTAGTGTCGCTGGTACTGGCCATGCTGCTGTTCAAGCCTGCTCCTCTGTACATCCTGGACGAAGTGGATGCTGCGTTGGACTTGTCGCACACGCAGAATATCGGGCATATGTTGAAGCAGCACTTTACGCACTCACAGGTGTGTATAATCTATTATAGAGCATGCTACAGACTTGCTATCTCTAGTTATTGCCGTGCTGCTGTTCAAGCCTGCTCCTCTGTATATCCTGGACGAGGTGGATGCTGAGCTAGACTTGTCGCACACGCAGAACATCGGCCATATGCTGAAGCAGCACTTTACGCACTCACAGGTATATAATATGCCATGATCTTGCATTCTCTCTAGTTGTTACTACGCGATGTCGTTGGTACTACTATGATGTTGTTCAAGCCTGCTCCTCTGTATATCCTGGACGAGGTGGATGCTGAGCTAGACTTGTCGCACACGCAGAACATCGGCCATATGCTGAAGCAGCACTTTACGCACTCACAGGTATATAATATGCCATGATCTTGCAGTCTATCTAGTTGTTCCTACGTGCTGTCATTACTGCTGCCTTGCTGCTGTTCAAGCCGGCCCCGCTGTACATCCTGGATGAAGTGGATGCGGCGTTAGACTTATCGCATACGCAGAATATCGGGCATATGTTGAAGCAGCGCTTTACGCACTCACAGGTATACATCAACTCACATAGTTATCTCTCTATAGTCTGGTCTGCGAGCACGTAGAATTTTGTAATTACCTGCGAGCGACAAGGATGGGTAGCTTGGGGTCATTGGACAAAATTCTACGTGCTCACAGACCGGGATTTAGTCGCTGGTGCTGCCATGCTGCTGTTCAAGCCTCTTCCGCTGTACATCCTGGATTCTTCTTCTACTATCTTACTAGTTCTCTAGATCTGCACGCTCCATTGTACATCCCTGATGAGGTGGACGCGTCCTTGAGCCTGTGACATACGCAGAATAAATGCACCCCAATCTGTCTTGGTCTAGCTAATCAGAGTTCAGGACACTTATTATTATCTAGACAAAATATTAACGCAATCTCTCGTCCACAGTTCATTATAGTCTCGCTGAAGGATGGAATGTTCAACAACGCCAACGTGCTATTCCGGACCAAATTCGTGGACGGCATGTCCTCCGTCCAGCGCACCGTCAACTCCAGGAGATGATCCCGCCACGACTCGTCCGAAGACGCAAGTGAAAGCAGTGGCCCAATGAGGACAACTGGACACACATTTGTGTATAAAGTACGAAATGGTTACGAAATATTTTAATATAGATAATATCACAAACAATTTCGACGTTGATGTTTACGTCCAAGTTGTGTAAAATGTGCAAAATAGGTACGAAATATTCCAGTATAGGAAAGTGTGTTCTCCATTTTTTTGATGCGATATTTTATATCAATTGGTCTAATATTAAAAGTGTATTTCACATGGTCGATGCTATCGATATAATGTGCCTTGTTTGTTGAAAGTATAAAGAACTTGTTGTGCCATAAAAGATTGTTTAAATTCCATATGATTGTTTTTCTGTTAGATCGTGCAATAGTTAGCTATTGCCTTCACTGTTTCTCTGGATATGTAGGTATATCTACGATTTTTCGATGCAGTACATTCCTTATACAGCCGGGGCATGTTATTAAATATTTCGTAAACGTCCATAAATGAAATGGTGCGGGCTTTTGGACCCACATCTCAGTGCATTGCACAATAATCTAGCTTTAAGTATTTGTAATTATAAAGTACAATATTTTAAAACCGTGTTTTTATTCTTTGATAATTATGTAGGTACTATGGGCCACAGTGTTAACTATCCATTTCCGTTTTTGCTCTCGCTCTCATCAAATGGTGATTATTTACGATAGAACGAGACGACATGACCGACAATGGGCAGTTAATACTCACTGTTGCCGATAGGACCTGAGTATTTTTCCCTGAAAGTAAACTTGAATATAAGTAAGTGCAAAATTTGGTCTCAAATGTTAGCGGCACGTGACGTAAAACGATTTAAAAGTTCGGTAACTATTTGAGATAAAAATATGAACAAATCCAGTCAATTTAAAATCGGCAGGTGAATGTTTAGTCAGCGATGTCTCGTAAGGACTAACTAGGATGTTAATTTAACGTAGGTTTATTTTCATTTTTTTGTTAACTTTCAATACTGATTTTTTGTGCTTTTATCAGTTGGAGCCACTAACGAGAAGATGAAATAGTGGCGCCAATTGGTGGTATGATATGTTATTTATTTTGTCAACTTGTTTACTTGCCTGCAGCTAATAAAATCACTTCTAAATAATACTGTAGGATACTAAGATCAGAAGGCAATAAACTCGCATCGCGCTAGACGATTGCATTAAACCCTACAAGAATACTGGAGTAATAAGATTAGCAATATTCAAGTCTGTATGTGTTTTCGAGTGTGTTGACTGTCTGCGTCTGGCTTAGTTGCCACAGTAAACACACTGAAAGATCGGTAGTGCTAGTCCACTATGACAATCAAAACGTATAGTTATGTGTAGCCTGACCAGGAACATAAAAACCCTGGCATAGAGGCGCGTCAATTGCA